TACTTTTAATCATGTTTGAAAATGGGTTTTTATTGTACGTGGTTGATGATGCCATTTTACTTATAAAAATAGTATAAAATTGATTATTTATATTGAAGAGTGATTCAGTCCTGCAACATGATCCTACTCGAGGCCTAGCACAGATTTCATTTATAAATTTGTCGGTTTTTTCTGGTTCTATTTTTTCATAACGTGTGTTCCTGCCCTCTATTCTTTTTTTTAATAGTATATACGAAAAGAATAGTTAAGTAGAAATTTATTGACGTTTACTTCAGATCATCCACGAATGCATGCGCAATTTCTTTTGTCCATTAAAAAATAAACACTTCTTTTCATATTTTACTATTTTTTATTGTAATCATTGTTCAGAAATGAGTTCAAAAGGTGTGCGTGTCGATATGAATTATAGTCTTGCGTCAAACCTTTTCGTATTCCGAGTCTGGTTTGACCCGTTTCCGAAGTTTTCGGCACCATCTCAGCTGTCCTGTGGAGCAGAATTACAGGATATTTTGGGATTTGGAACTATTCTGGAAGAACCCAGTGTGATTGTGGCTCTCCTAATGCTGCGCACACGCTCTCACCATCACAATCATATAGGTGTTCATGCATTGTTCTTATTTTCATGGATTTTCTGTTCGTTCATGTGCTAAGAATTGAAATAACGTGATATATTTGTTGAAAATCCATAAATGTTATTTTTTGGATCGGACTCGGGCTTTAAATAAATTGTCGAGTCGGTTTCGAAAATTTCAACTCACGCATGACTCTAAAGCGAGATCAGTATTGACAAAAAAAGAAGTAAAGAGCGACGTATATCTATTGATTATTTGCTGAGGAAATACATAGAGGAGTGGTCCAGCCACGTACAAATTAATTTTATACGTGTAGCGTTGTTTTCCATGTATATACTCAAAAACCTATACAATTGGAAAATTTCTATTATTGGAAATAGACTCGTAATCAGTGAAGACTTTTATCAGAATAGTAAATAAAAATAGTTGATTAATGGTTTTAAATAGGACCTAAATAACAAATATGAAACTATATTATATAGTTTTTATAAAAAAAAACTCACCGTGACCAACTTATGAAAGGGTGTGGGTGTGGGTGTGGCTGTGAGGTGAGGCGTGGGTGTTGGATGTGTATATGTTCAATCTAATATCATACCCACCGCTACACCCCGCACCCACGCACCGTAATAGATTGTGCCTTAGCGTCCATACCTAGACGAAAGAACTGAACATAAAGTTCGTGATCAGTAGTCTAATTGGCTGTTGGACGTACAGATGCGGCATGAGTGCGTTACCATTCATTTTCTCAAAGAGTGCGATTCTAAAAAATTCTAAAAAAGCATATGATAGTCCGTCTAAATTTACCTAAACATTAATACTTTCCTTTAAAAGCTTCTCATTTACTAAGGCTATAAATGTAAAAAACCCTCTAAATGGTACAACACTCATCCGTTTTTTGATAAAGTTTTGTGAGACTATCTTTTTAAAGTAAGAAAGAGGATGACATTTTATTAGATAGCCTAAAACAGAGCCTCTTCATTAATGATTCTTTTCATGACAAAAGTCTCTTCTAAAACGTTGTAGAATCTCTTTTGAAAGCTTCTTTCTTTTGCACTATGATGAAGTACACTAATAAAATTAATTCATACTTAATGTTTTAGATGCTCGTTTTTCTACCAACTAGAACAAATGAGAAAAATAGATTCATGTCCTTATACAGTTGCATGTGCTCAACAAACTAATCATCTTTAAATTTGAAAAATCTGAACTTCAACTTTGGCCACGCTGAGTCTCCGTTTGCTGGACAAGTTGAAAACAACTTTTAACGTCTATCGCTGCTTCATTTAATGCAAAGTGCACACTTTAATCATAGTCAAAGTGGATCCATAGTATTTATTTCAGTTTAGACTGAATAAATATTTACTGTAGTTTTAATATTACTGATAATCAGAATGATTAATACTGATTATGCATTAAACACCTATTTGCATTATTCAGCAGTAAAACTTTTCATTGCTACAACATCATATTAGGAAAACATCGCTGGAAAACTCATTTACTGTTGTAATAATTACTTTGAATTGAGATCAAGTAGAATAAAATACTTGTTTGTCAAACTATTCAAATATATTAGGTGGACGAGCTAATTCTTCGCAACAAACTTTGCTATTAGTAAAGGTCGTTCGCCATGCAAAATCTACTTATGGAATTCTTAGTCTCAGATATTTATTCTATTGATAATCAAGTATGATTAGTTCAATGACGTTTTCAAACTCAAACACTGTTGTGAATTTGTTTAAAAAGTTGTTTTTTTGTTTTTCCTTTAGGTTATGTTCGTGTAGTGTCTTTGAAGGGTAGATAACTGATACAGTTCTTCAATAAAACTTATCTTATCACTATCGTTTGATGTAATTCAAGTTTAGAAGAAAAGTAAGTCCAACTATGATTTCTGTTTTATCTTGTAAGCTTCAAAACTAACAGAACAAAATTAGTTAAGATGGCAACGACTACAAGAGACACATGTTTTTTAACAAAGATACCCTTTAGCCTATTCAATATAAATGCAAAACAATATTCTTTACGTAATCTAAGTGAAGGGAGTAAAACATTCTTGTGGCATCAATTTATGCTCAATGTTCTTCTAAGCATTCCTCGTTCACCAACAGCCATCAACGACACTATTACAGGTTTTCGTTTACTAAGTGAGACTGATCCAACAAATGACATTACATTATGACAAAACGAAATTACTCAATTTCAAACTATATATACACCCGATAATGCTATTCATTGTTATACACGTAGTTCATTTTTCTACCATGTATTAAACAAAGCTTGTCGAATGCTTAATAATGATATATTAGTGCAATTTCATTCAATTATCAATAACATTGATACTCAATTGAAACAATTGCATTTAAAACAGATAATAGATGGTACACTTGTACTACCTTTGACTGTTTATCGTGAACAAACACAGTGGGATGCAACTGAGTTAGAAAAACTTCATATAAATATTGGTGATCTTAAATCGATGAATACATTTTTATCGACAACAGTTGATTATGATGTAGCCACTATTTATGCTACTGGTGATAATAGACATACATCTGTACTATTTCAAATCACAGTAAACAAAATGGATACAATAAATGACAAACAATGTCAAACATTTGCCGATATTAGTCAATATAGTGCAATAACAGATGAAAATGAAATTCTTTTTAGTATGTTCACTGTTTCCAAAGTGATATCGATCAAAGCCGAGGAGGTCTTTTGGGTTAATGATTTGGAATTAACCAGTTACAAAGAAGATAAAAATGTGCAAAAATTGATAAACGAAGTTAAAAATTATCTATATCAAATTTCTGACAAACAACTACCATTGGTTGCATTCAAACAATTGTTTACTATCAATTCGCATAATCATGCTTGACCATTCATAGAACTTATAAAAAGATTTTTTGCTGATTTAACACAATTATTTGTTATTAAAGTTTATAAGAAAGGAGGTCTAATAAAAGAACTTATCGATAAAGACTCTAATTTACAAGCACTTGCTATACAGACTAACGCTAATGCTACTTATTCGATCAATGCATCATCATCATCTATTTGTCTTCTATTCGATTTACTCAATAGTTTTCTTTATCATCCAGACAAGAAAAAACCACAAGAATAAATCATATTTGGAGAATACTTCCTATTCCCAAAAGTTACACATTCCTGCATCGCCTTCTGACATGCAATCCCTTACCATGAATTCCGGAAAAGCAAAAACGACCCTTTCCCTCAAAAACATGCAACAACCCGGAATTCCGGAATTTCTGCATATGCGGAATCACTAGAACACGCAGGAATTCTGGGTCACTCCTGCCTATTCCGCAATTACAAACATGTTATGAATGGCTAAATGATCATTCTCGAGCTTCAAGAAATGCAAAGCGGAATTCCGGAATTTGTGCACATCCATCATCCTCAGGATATG